TTACAAATGTTCAATACATTTCCATAAACTTCTTTGATATTATTTGTGGCTACAGAGGCATTGTTTCCCTTCTTGTATGCAAACAGCATCACATGCCGAATATGTGTCTCATTGTGTGCCATCACTATAAGTGATTAGAGTATACTATACTTTTTACATTATATAGGCTACACTAACATGATGGTTAGGTGGTTCGTTTAACTATTATACGTGATGTACGTTTTTTAGGGGGTGGTTAATAAAAGCATTCCAAAATGCGACATTAATTTCTTGACTACCTAATGGAACAAAAGTCTCCAGATATTACAATCTTTTTTGAATTTACTTTTTAACTTTCTTTTTGATACATTATAAATCATGCCAAGTTTATATGCTAAAGGTTGATGGTGTAAAATCTCATTTTGCATGTGCATGACATTGTAAATATGCCATGAGAAAGCTATGATCTTATAATAACAAAGTTAGGTCAAAGATTTCAGAAGACATAATTCCTCAATATATTTTATTATACACCCAATAAATGTTGATAGTGTGATGTGGGGCTAGGACAATATTAAGCATTAGAATATTTTATGTGTTGGTAATAATACCCTACTACTGTTAGATACCATTGTAGTTCTAGTTTTTGTCAGTTGATAGTCTGCCTTTAACAAAGTAAATACTAACATATTCAGCAAGTGAACGTCTGTTACCTAGGTTTCTTTCTTGCTTTATAGTTTTCATTTTAGACTCAAACTATTATTTCTGTTCTGTGGTTATTTAATTTTGTATAAGTAGAGATGTTCGTTATTGTATTGTGTATTTTCACAAAGTGCATTGACAGATTGTTAGTTTTTTTTCTTTTCTGTAGTTAGAATATACATAGATTATCTAGCTTTGTAAAGTTCAAGATTTTTTGGTGCATTTGCTGTATGTTATGTCTAAGGTTTTTTGTATGGAGTTTTATCAACAGCATTGTCTGTAATATTATCTTCCTTCCAAGGCTTACATCAGTCCTTGAAACTACTGTTTGTTAATATAAGTATCTGTAGACAGTACCTTATGTGCTTAAGAGCAGTTAATAAAGACAATTATATAGTTTTTCTTTACATAAAGTCATAAATGTATCTGTGGAAATTTGAAGTTTATGACTTCTGCTTACATACAATAATGGTGGGCATTTCTTGTAATGAGAATGTAGCAGCTGGTAATACATAATAATTACATTTCAAGGATTTTGTGAAACTCAGCATTTGGATTTTTAATCTGTGTTCAAAGGATGTGGTGCTGTATTTCTTACATGTTGCAAAATACTGTGTACACTGAACAAGCATAAAGCTTAACATTGTTTAGCTTCCTAGTAAAAGATATCATTTTTTGAATGTTTTTTAATGTAGTGTATACCATTCTTGACCATTCTTTTCCTCTTAAACTAAATTAATAAAGCATTTAAGTAAAAAGTCATGCTCATCAATGTTGTGGTAATATATTATTGTATATTTATCGAGTTGATTTTGTATCTTTTATCTATACCTGTAAATACAGCTGAAAATTACAGCCGATCAAATTATGAACTTTGATTTTTGTAATTGGAGGAGGGAAACTTGCTGATGTGATTTTAAAGGCTGTATACCTAATACAAATAATCTTTTTCTATGCTGTTTGATGAAAAAAAAAAGGTCTGACAGAAATATTGAAATATCAATTTGTAAAGTGGAAATCAACCTCTTGATCACATTCCCAGACCTGCTTTGTAACCTGTTCATGATATAAGAATATTGATTTCATTTTCTTCTTTTAGTATGTGGATAATATAAAAAGTTCCAGTTTTTTGGAACAATCTATTATCTCCTTATTTTTTATTTTATTTTTCTAATCTATATTAATACATTGTATACATCAGCTTCCACCTCATTGTCCAGCCTCAGTAACATTACAGCCTGCAGTAGGTGACACTGGAAAACCATGTGGTGTTGACTATGAAATGAAAGCTTATATTGCAGATACTATAGATGAAAAACCACATAAAAGGTATATCATAATTTATCAGTTTTTTTTCTAATCAGATAAGTAATTTTATCAAGCTGTAAAACTAAACTAGTGTTTTTTATTTACTTGGTTAGGTCAAAACGTGTATAGCAGTGGAACATTTATTTACTAACTATGTGTTGAAAGCTTACTATAGAATACAGTATACAGAAAAATTGATGTGCAGTTTATTTTCAAGGATTGCAATTTAAAGTATGTAAAATTTGATGTAATTTTATAAGTAAATGGAAAATGTTGCTGGTGTTTCTATATTGTATTTACTATGCTGATATCAAGTGTAGATAATTCATTCTGCACATCTGACAAGAATGTACTTAGCATTTATATAAACTTTTACCCTATTATTTTTTCAATGTAATGATGAAATGAATGAGTATATAGTAGCCTTATTTCTAAGGTAAGTTTGTTTGTTTGTAATTAAGCATAAAGCTACACATTGGGCTATCTGTGCTCTGCCCACCACGGGTATTGAAACCTGGTTTCTAGCATTGTAAGTCCACAGACATACCGCTGTGCCACTGGAGGGCTTCTAAGGTAAGAACAACATTTAAGACTACACACAAGATAAAGCACTTATAAGGTGGATCTCCTTCATGTTCTTATACATGTTTCACTGAAAAACAGTGGAAATGATCCTGCAAGAGTTATAAGTTACTCCTTGAGATAAGTAATCAAGTAGTAGTGGTAATTTTTAAAGGGATATTCTAGATGTTTTAATCAAATTAAGGGAGTGACAAGGATATATATGCATATTAAATTAAGCATTACATATATATATATATATTAAGCTAGTTCTGAATTCATTATATAAACTTACAAAACTCAATATAGAAAAAATGATTTATGTACAAGAAACAAAGAATAGGGTTATATTACAAGAGGAACCTTATAATGTCTTTTAGGAACTGTGTTAGATTAGCCATACGGAAGATAATGTATGCACCAAATAAACAAGGAGAACAGCCAAATGTTGAAGTCAGTAAGGAATTCATGATGTCTCCTAACAAGTTGCATCTAGAAGCTTCACTAGACAAAGAGGTTTGTACTGCTGTTTAACTTTTTGCAAAAATTGATTGTTTCGAAGTTCATTGTAATGAATGTTTTACCATGAATGTTTTTTTTTGTGTCTTGTGCCTGGGGTTTGGTTGATGTATTGAAAACTAATAATATACAAATATTTTTTATTTATAATAAAACTTCCAATTCATAAAAGATTTCTAAAACTTTGTGTGTATATGATCACACACACGTATACTTACATGTTGTATTTTTTGAAGAAGTGGTGAAACTCAGAAAAGAATTCAAACAGAAAATAACTTTATAAAAAAGATAACAGAATATGCTCAAGGAGTAGACTCACTTGCATATACATAGCCTTACAATGAACGAATAGAAAAGCACCCCAGAAAAATTGTTTTTTATTAACTAAATAAGCATGCAAAAAAAAAGATGCAAGATTACCATTAGTATTTAGTGGATCATCCCTTTGCAGTAGTTATGGCTGGTACACTGTTACACATTGTATTTTCATTATATGAAACCTGGGCCTTTAGGATTGCATGTCATTCTTGAAAAAGAATTTGGACAAGGGTGTTTGGGACAAAAAAATTATCAAAAAAAGGACTAAAAATGTTCATTATCAGCTGGTTGGTCATGGGAGAGTAGTAGTGCCCTCATCTGAATGAGCTGGGGCTCCATCTTACATGAAAACACTACCTTGTCTGGTAAGCTGGCCACTGACGTAGAGGAAGAAAGCCTTGTTTGAGAATTGTGATGTGTTAAGCAGTAATGACAGTCCTTCACATACCACCAACTGCTCAAACAGGGCCATCATTGTCCAGATTGGTTCGGCCATTATGGGTTAAAAACCCTAATTTTATTAAAATTGTGCTCATATGGTCTTTAATAATCTGTATTATTAAAAAAGTGGTCTGGTGTAACGTATTGAGAATTTGAAACAATCCAAGGCCACATTAAATAATTTAACTTTTAATAGTTGAGACGTACCTTGGATTTAGGCTTAGAAATATGCTGGTATTTTATTTAATTTACGCTATTTGCCAGAGATTGATTCACACCATTTTTGGTTTTGACACAAATATGTTTTAATATATATATATGTATATATACAACACTATAATGTACAATAGCAACAATAGTGATTAATTATTACAAACAAAGTTTTATAGACAGAAATTTTACTAACTTACAAATAGCCTAAAACCCTCTTCCTAGTTCAGAGTCTCCTTAATATCCAGCGAGTTGTACGTTCATAGAGTTTGGTGTAAACTAGGCACTGAATTGTTGGACCATTGAAGTAAGATAATATGTTCACAAAATCACTAATGTCCGATGAGAAATTAGTAATATTCTTGGAAAGATATTAACGTTTGATGAGAATTCATTGACGTTCGAAATTTATAACTGTTCCTGGTCAAATGTCGTTGATAGGGGTTAGCAAAATCACAGTTTATAGCTTACACGGTTATAATAGTTTCATATTAGACTTGTCTCTTCTCTGTTCTCTGTTGTTTTTATAGGCCACTCACATTTTCTAGAAACTTCTGATATACTGGTTATGGAAATTTATTCTTTGTTCACAAATGTTCTATAATCTTGGAGAATTGGCGGGAGTTTCGCGGTAAGCTAAACACGCCCTCAAATATAAACTTATTCGAAACAAATGTTGACATTAAAATAAATATACCACAAATTCATTATACGCAACATATGTATGATAATACAAGTTATGCCTATTTCTAAATACAAACTTGTTTCATATCAAAAATAAATACATAATAATAAATTTGTTACATCTGGTCTTGGCCGAACCACTAACAATGACCTTGTCAAGTGGCACTCCAAATCATAACAGAAATATTGTCTTGTTTTGTTTGCTTGCAAATGATTTAAACACAAATGCATCCACAGTTTAATAAATGTGCAGATCTGGGAGAGATGGAAAACATTGCAATGTCCCAAGAGGTAGGAAGGTATGATGGGATCTGTGGTGCCCACTTCTATTGACGTACGATATTCTATGTAGTGAGGAGTGGCTTCTGTGTAGTTAATCTGGCATTGTAGCTCTAACTATCAAGATAACTTCTGATAATGTTGGGGTACACTTGCACCTGTCCTACAACAGTAGCAGCTGTTTGACCAAGATTGTTCTCCTCACAGCATGAAAAGTCCATTCTGTTGGTTTTAATTAGAACTGTCCCAATGTCCAACTGTGCAACCATTTAAGGTATGGCTAATTCCAAACAATTCTTAGTATGATTTTATTCCATGGTTTTTATCAAGTTTTTTACTTGTAATTGTGTCTATGTTAGTTGATTTGTGTGTGTGTATACATATGTATGTGTGTGCATATGTTTATATATACACAGCATGGTCACAAGTAAATAGACACCACCTTTTCAGAAAAAATTAAAATTTTCAGTCATATTCACATGAATTGATATATTTACAATTTAATTAACATCTAGTAGATCTTCCTTTCGCTTCGTGGAGTTCATTGATCCTTCAAAACTTGGAGTAGATTGCTCTTTGAAGTTGGTTTTTGGTTGTTTCTTGACTTGCCGGTCGAGTATGGCCCAGAGGTTTTCGATGATGTTTGTGTCAGGAGATTGGCTTGGCCAGGGCAACTTCTGGATACCATTTTCTTCCTGCCACTTTTGG